CTGGCATGCCGTTACACGTCCGAACAGGTTGACTAAGATAACTATGAGACAGAAGAGACAGTTGTCATGGAGACAGACTCAGTGGGGCAAATGGTCCATTTCTGTGCTGTATATCCTATTATTTGCAGGTACAGTATTACATTTACAGAATAGCAAAAGAAAAGCTGGACACATAGCCTGGTAGAATGGGACAAAAAGGAAATAACAGGGATAAATAGAGTGAAAGAAAGTGGGAACATAATAGATAGTAGATAGTCCATAGTAGACAGTCCAACTAGGGAAGGGACTGTACTAAACTTGTATTGAGAAATGAACCTAGCCAGGTGACTGAAGTTTCAATGGAGGAGAATTTTGGTAATAGTGATCATAGTTATGCAAGGTTTAAGATAGTTATGGATAAGGATAACACTAGTCAGTGGATAAAACAGTGCTAAACTGGGAGAAAGCCAAATACAACGGTATGAGACAAGACCTGGAAAAACTAGAGTTTGGGGATAGCTGTTGAAATTTGAGGGTGGCATCTGACATGTGGGAGCCTTTTAAAGGCGAGCTGATCAGAGTTCAGGGTTAGCATATTCCCGTCAGCATGAAAGATAAGGATGGCAAGATTCAAGAAACCCTGGATGACAAGATATTGAAAACTTAGACAATAAAAAAGAAAAAGGAAGCACAAGTTTAATGAAACTGAAATCAGACAACGCTCTTGAGGAATATCAAGGAAGCAGGAAAGAACTTAACCAAGGACATTTAGGATAAAGGAGAATTCCACACGGCTTTTTTTTTTAATGTATACTGGGAGCAAAGAGGGTGGCTAGGGAAAGGGTAGGTCCACTCAAGGACATAACAGCGATTCTATGCATGGAGCCATAGGAAGTGAGTGATGTCCTTACTGAGTATTTTGCATCAGTACTCACCAGGGAAAGGAAGGACAAGAGAACATTAGGGAGGGCTATGTTGATATCCTAAGGCGTATCAATATTAAGAATGTGGTGGTGTTGGGTGTCTTGAAAAACATCAAGGAGACAAGTCCCCAAGACCTGATGGGGTCTATCCCAGAATATTGAGGGAGGCAAGGGAGAAAGCTAAAGCCTTGAGAGATTTTTGTATCCCCTTTAGCCACAGACAAGGTCCCAAAAGCCTGGAGCATAGCCAATATTGTTCCTTTGTTTAAGAGCAACAGGAATAATCCAGGAAATTATAGGCCAGTGAGCCTTACATCAATAGTAGGAAAATTATTGGAGATGATTCTTCAGAACAGGTTTGTGGATAGTGCAGAAAGTTGCCAAAGAATTCAGTAGGATATAGATTAGTCTGAAAGTTGAGAAAAGAAACAGCAGATGGAGTTTAATCAGGATAAGTGTCACGGAATGTATTTTGAAGGCGGTCAAATGCAAGAGGAAAGTATACAATAAGTGGCAGGACTCTTACAAGCATTGATATACAGAGCGATGTTGGGGTGCAAGTCCACAATTCCCTGAAAGTGGCAACACAAATGGATAATGTGGTAAAGAAGGCATACACATGCTTGCCTTCATCAGTAGGGGCAATATTATAAAAGTTGGCAAGTCATGTTAAAGCTGTATAAAACTTTAGTTAGAGATAGTAGGAACTGCAGATGCTGGAGAATCTGAGATAACAAGGAGTAGAGCTGGATGAACACAGCAGGCCAAGCAGCATCACAGGAGCAGGAAGGCTGACGTTTCGGGCCTGGACCCTTCCAAAACGTCAGCCTTCCTGCTCGGCCTGCTGTGTTCATCCACCTCTACACCTTGTTATCTCAAACTTTAGTTAGGCCACATTTGGAGTATGGTGTGCAGTTCTGGTCACTACACTTTCAGAAGGATGTGGAGGCTTTGAAGATGTTGCCTGGATTGCAATGTATTAGCTACAAGTAGAGGTGAGACAAATTTGGATTGTTTTCACCGAAGTGTTGGAGGCTGAAGTGTGACCTGATAGAAGTACATAAACAACTACAATCAATGCTTTGCACTTACAGATTCTGACTAGATTGAACAAATTATAAATTTTATAAACAAATGAGCAAAATTACAGAACCACAGGACTTTGGGTTAGGATTGGCATATTTCCGGTTACAGTGCACAATCAAAATGGCAGTTTTTCAATAAGTTTAGATTGGAACTGATTTAACACTTCCTGAACCTATTTTGAATGACTACAATTTCTCAAATTCAAAATGACAAGAAGAATTCTCAGCCCAAGATAGATTGTTAATATCTGGTTGATAACTTTTGCAAAATTATTTTAAATAAAATTGAAGATTAAATTTAATAAACATTTCTACTTTTCACCCCATTAGATACTGTCTACAATAATTAAGCACTAAAGGTGACACCCTACTTAACATTAAAATTACCTATGGTTGTGTATATTTTTGCAATCCACTGTCAGATTGAGCTTAACACGTCATATTTACACGTGAGCAAGTCACAAGTGTTTCAACTATCAAAATTCTTGGAAGGAAACAAAATGTAAAATTAGTAGTCCATTAGTTTCCCTATACCAAGCTATGGACACGAAGAACCTGGTGCTCTGAAGTAGATTTGACTAAGTTTTTTAAAAAAAAAAAATGTACTGACATCCTGCTTCAAAACTTCAACAACAACAAAAATCAATTACAAAACAAAAGTAAGAAATAACATACTCCTTAAAGCTCAGAAGGAACCCTTTCAGCTCACCATATCTTTGCTCCTTGAAAGACCATTTGATTAGCACAACTCCCTCGTTCTTTTCCCACTGCCCTAGCAATTCCCTTTTGAAGGTTACTATCGATTCCATCTTCTCAGGAATTGCATTCCAGACTGTTACAACTCACTTCAGAAGGAAAGTTCTTACTTTGCCTCCCTGGATCTTTTGACAATGACTTAACTCTGTCCGCTGGTAACTGTGAGTGGAAGTTACTCTCTAGCACTCAAAAGAAATTTCAAAAATGTTAACACTATTATAGCTACAGTTAACCCCCTCCACTCAGGAGAATGTCCAAGCTTCTCTGGGCTCTCCACGTGTCTGAAGTTTTTCCTCCAGTACTTCTGCACTTTTGCCAAGCATTTGGTTCCCTTCTGAACTGTGGTGCCTAGAACACTACACAATAGTCCGAGGCTTAACCAGTGATTATATTACAGATTACCATAACTTCCTTGCTTCATATTGTATGCACACTTATAAAATCAAGGATCACATCTGTTTTGTTAAAAAAAGGCACACAACTAGTCTTGTTACCCTTAAAGAATTGGTTATGCTGACTCTCCCCACCCCCAAGCCTGTTCCTGCAGACTCTGAAAAATTACACCATTTCATTTTTGCCACCTCTTCAGGCTTTCTTGCTAGAGGTATCACTTCACATCTCTGCAAGATATTGCTTTCAGCATTCACCTGTCTCTTCACCATTCTGCTTATGCCTTCCTGAAAGTGTCTGCTGCTATCCACTCACAGTTTACTACTTTCCAAATGTTGTTACTCACGAATTGAACTTATGTCTCTCATACACAATTCCAGGTCTCCATGTATTAAAGTTCGAAATCACTAAATCTTGTAGACAAGATTGCTATGATATATAACACAGCGTGGAGCTGGAGGAACACAGCAGACCAGGAAAGCTGCCATTTTGGGTCGGGACCCTTCTTCAGAGCCTATTTCAGAAGAAGGGTCCCAACCTGAAACGTCAGCTTTCCTGCTCCTCTGATGCTGCCTGGCCTGCTGTGTTCCTCCAACTCCACACTTATCTGACTTCAGCATCAGCAATTCTTACTATCTCCGAGTTTCTATCATGCTTTTTTTTTAAAAAAAGATTTTTAAGTTAATCCATTCAGATGTGTTTTGACGCACCTCAGGAGCAGGTGGCACTTGAAGCCAGGCCCTCTGAAGTAGGGACACTAAACTTGCACCTCAATAGCCCCAATTTGTCTTTATGACGACTCTCATTTTTACTAAAAAGGACAGGAGGGAAGACAAAAGAAAAATGAGAGCATGTCATGAAAAAAATTGAAGACAGACATGCTTTGTGGAGACAGACAGAAAGAAAGCAACATAAAAGAAAGACACATCATTAAGATATGAAAGAGGGAAGTAAAAACTAGACAAAGATTGAGCAGAGAAAAAGCAAGATGCAACCATAACAAAACAGATTCTGCATTTTTCTCTAAAAGAAAACAGAGTGCAGTACTTTTCAACTTCATGTGTCATGTAATTGTACATGTATATCATTGTCTGAAAGACAGAAACTTACAACCTAGGATGACTACCAGCATCAAATCAGAGCCACATCTGCAAGCTCCAGGTGGATATTAACAAACCATGGTACTACTCAAAGGACAGAAAGTTCCACTGGTGCATCAGCAAACAATTCTCTCAGCCAACACTACCAAAAATAAACTCTGTTCAGTTTACCTCTATGCTACTTGCTACAGTCCTCACTCCATACAATTTAGCTATACAGGTTTGTCTACATTACAGAATTGCTATAGCACAGAAGGCAGCGAAAGTTTCGACATTAATGCCCAGAGGCACAAACAGCACTAAATTTATTTCTTCCTTTCTAAACTGGTGGAATTCAACATTTTGCCAAAACCAATGTAAGTCATTAGTACTCAAAATTCAAACAGAGCGCGGAGCAATTAAGTAACAAGCAGAAACAGGAGAGCCTGGACTAAAGGCTGCAGCCGGGGGAAGAGGGGTAGGTTGAGAGGCAAAGGTGGGGGAAAAAGACGGTACAGAGGGGGAAGGGCTTAGTGGATGTGATGAGGGGGTCAGGGGCACAAGGGGTCAGTGAATGTGATGAGGGGTCGGGGAAGCATAAAGGAAGGCGGGGGTGACGAGGAGCCTGGGGAGGGAAGGAGTGAGTGAGGGTGGTGAGGTGGGAGGAGGGGGTACAGGCGGGATAGGAGGGGGCTGTTGAGGGGCGGAGTGGGTCCAAGGAGAGGTGCCTGTCCAGACTCGCTCCTAGAAAGCTGTACAGACATGAACCCGGCTACAACGATGGTTACCTATAGGCCTCTGCGTGGTGATAAGGAGCGTGGGGGGGGGAAGGAAGCTAAGCCTCGGGGTACAAGTGAAACGCAGTCCCCTCCGCGCCGGCTCCTGCTGCCGCCGCCGTTCTCTTCCCTCTCTCTCTTAGGAAGCTGCCATCTTCAGACAGACCGCACTGCGCGTGCGCCACCACCGTCACGGGACCGTCGCCTGACCCCACCGGAAGTTTCGAAAACTGTCGGCGATGGGGTGAACACGTCATTTTAAAGGGACGCCGGGGTAGGTGTGTTGTTGGATGTTGGTGCAGGGAGCAGCACCAGCTCTGGGTAATGTGTTAATGTTTCGGGCCTAGACCCTTCATCAGAAGGGTCTAGGCCCGAAACGTCAGCCTCTCTGCTCCTATGATGCTGCTTGGCCTGCTGTGTTCATCCAGCCCTGCACCTTGTTGTCTCGGATTCTCCAGCATCTGCAGTTCCTACTATCTCTGATTCAATGTGTTAATGTTTATTGCTACAGGAGTTCTTCATCCGCTGGATTTACAGTCTTCTACTCAGACCGACTTCTCCGAAATTAAAAGGGCCGTTTTACTTCTGATTGGCTCTGTTGTATTCCAGCAGTAAACATTTTATTTCCTTGAAATTTACCAATTTATAACGTCAGGATTTGATACTTCGAGAAAATAGTTTCCTAAATAACAATCTTGTTCCATGTTGAGTTGGGGTTGACGATGGGTAGCAGCAGTAAAACTGCGGTTGAATTCTTCACTGCAGAAGGCTGTTGAGGCCAGATCGTTAAATATATTCAGGGCTGGAATAGATTTTTAACCATGAGGGAATCAATGGTTATAGAAATAAGGTAGGAAAATGAGGATTATCAGGACAGCCATGATCTCATTGAATGGCAGAGCAGATTTGATGGGCCAAATAGGCTACATCTGTTCCTGCTTCCTATGACCTTATGCTTTTTTTCTGAATTAAGTTTTTAAAAATAACTTTGTAGAAATTGATTTAAGCCAAGGGCGATTGAGCTCTAGTTAAGTCAAGTAAGTAGTTCATTATATAATCAATAGTAATATTATTAACATTGAAATTATATTTTACCAAGGACTTTTAGCTTCATTTTTATGCTGGTCAAAGCAGGTTGTGTTTGTAGCTGTTGTTTTGTCTAGAGTACTGTTTATCCTTCTCATGTTAGATTGCTTAAAAATGTATTTCTATTGTTTAATAACAGCCCTTTCTAATTATATTTAATGACCCTTGAATTACAAGCCAGGACAGAGGGTAATCTTGCACATGGGGTGGTCAACCTTGATATAAAGTCAGGAAATGGAGTTTGATTGATGGATCTGCAGTATAACCTTATTGATGGCAGATGGCAGACAGAATGAAAGAACATGTGACTCACTTGAGTCCTGCAGAATCTGCAAGCGTCAGTGCCTCTGAGAAGCATTTGAGGAGGACTTATGATTGTCGGACCCTTGCTTTTGAGAAAATCTGGATGGAGACCTCCAGTGGACTGCAACAAGAGGCAGAAAGTGGAATTAAATGTTGCAGCATCCAATGTTCAGTACTGCAGCGAAGTGCATTAGTCAACCACTGAAGATTATGGAGGAAGGGATCTCAACAGAGTGACTGACCAGTGAGCCCACTGCTGAACAAGGTTCTTCAGAGACTTGATAATGTAGGTACTGAGGGGGAACTGTACCATTTTAGATAACTGCCTCAAACAGACTAATTTGGGATTACCATTTATGCGATTAAAAAGGTGTCTTTTTTCCTATATACGCATAACTTTATTACAAAGGTGGGGAGAAAGAAAAGCATCTTTCTTACTTTGTGAACATTAATCATTATTTAATAAAAATTGTTGTTTCAACACATTTGGTATTCAGTCTCTTATTCCAGTTACTTCCAGAGTAGGACTCTGAGCCTCAATGAGCAAGGGGCTTTCACACACTATAAATCTAAAACAGAGCTTCTAAATTGGAAAAGGTACATTTCACAGGGATCAGATTGGGTCTAGCCAGGGCAAAATGGAAATGTCATTTCACAGGAAGTTCTGTGTTGAAACAATAGGTGATTTCTAAGATGTTTCAAGTGTAGGTCAGGTACACTCCAATATTTGCAGAAAGCTGGAGAAAGCAAACTCGGAGCACTGAAGAGTCATCTAGACTTGAAACGCTAGCTTGCTGTCTCTCCAGGGATATTGTCAGACCTGCTGTGATCTCCAGAATTAGTTGTTTCCTTCACTGCATTTCTTGATGGTGACTTAATTGTCTGGTTTCACTGTCTTTGGATGAAATGGTAATTTCAGTACAGCTGCTGTAGTGTGTTTGCTCTGGGTTCCCTGGATCACCTCAATCTATGGTCAGGTAACAACAGCAGCTGTTTTAAGTAACTGTCCTTTTTAAAGTACATTTTAGGACATGAAGGTCTCATTTAAAATCAGTTATCAAAAGTGAATACCAGTAATCCATATTCATCATAATTGTAATAACATTGATGAGGAAGCCTATTCGGAACTAAAACTATATACATTTATAACTTGCCTTTTGCCTCACCGTCTCAGTATCTCCTTCACTGAAGTCCAACCACCTCCCTCCCTCGACCTAATCCTCTCCCCACCAATAACATTTATCCTCACCTCTTCCCATTCCTTTATTCTTCCTCAACACCCCACTTCTCATCCCAAACTCTGACCCATCCCCAACACCATCCCTCTTATTCCTATCCAACATCTCACCATCCCCTGCTTTCTCACACCTACCCTACCTCCACCGTTTCCCTTGTCTTTAACCTCCATCCCTTCTGTTACTCACTTTCGCCTCCAAGTTCATTCCACACTTCCTTCCCCATACCCTAGAACTCACCTACATCCTTCCATTGCCCCACTATCCTTTAACCCCCTTCCTCCTCACCAATGTTCTTCAGCTGTCCTCAACCCCTCTCCTCCTACAACCCAGTCACCCTTCTAACTTTCCTCTTCCCATCACTCTTCTTTCTTCATCTTTCCTGCCACTTCCCTCTTCCCCTCACTACCAGCCTCTCTTCACCATCTTGTTTTCCTTTCCAAACTCCTGTGTTCACCTATTCCGCTTACCCTGAAGTCCAATCCATTGTCGCACCTAATTCCCAACCTCCTTCCCTTCTGGCCTTACCATCACCCTAGTGACAGAAGATTGTCAGCAAATATCCACTTGCGCACTGGGATTAATCAGTCCCAAAAATGTCATATTTACCATGGCTAATACACCTTGTCTGCACATCCCTGGACACTATGGGGCAATTTAACATGTCCAATCCACCAAACTACACATCTTTGCGTGGGTTTTTGCCGGGTGCTCTGGTTTCATCCCCCACTCCAGACACGGGGAGAACATGCAAACTCGACACTTACTCAAGGCTGGAATCAAACCTGAGTCCCTGGTGCCGTGAAGCAGCAGCTCTAACCATTGAGCCACCATTTCAGATTGGAAACTGACAACCATAAATTCTTCATTCAAAAAGAGAATCAGAAAAACAAACAGCAAAACTACAGGCCATTTCACTTAACTTTTGGAAGAAGGTAGATGTTAGAAACCATTATTAAAGTTTTTATAGCAGGGCACTTAAAGCAGTTCAAGAAAATCAGGTAAGATTAAATTGAAACAAAGAACAATACAACACAGGAAGAGGCCCTTTGGCCCTCCAAGCCTTTGCTGACACATTTTGCCTTTGCATATTAAAACTGTCTTCACTTACAGGATCTGTATCCCTCTGTTCCCCTCCTATTCATGTTTCTCTGGCAGTGCATTCCAGGCACTCTCCACCCTTTGTGTAAAAAACATGCCTCACACATCTCTTTTAAATTTCCCCCCCCGCCACCCCTTCAACTTTGTCCCCTAGTCATTGACCCTCCACCCTGGGGAAAAAGCCTCATACTTTCCACGCCATCTGTGCCATTCACAATCTTCTAAACTTCTATCAGGTCAGGTCACCCTCAACTGCCTGCGTTCCAGTGAAAACAAACCCAGTCTATCCAACCTTTCTTCATAGCTAAAATCCCTTATACCAGCAATATCCTGGTAAACCTTTTCTATACCTTCTCCAAAGCATCCACATCTTTCTGGTAATGTGGTTACCAGAACTGTACGCAATATTCCAAGTGTGACTTAAAACTTCTATAAAGCTGCAGCACAACCTGCCTATCCCGACACTCAATGCCCCTTCCAATGAAGGCCTTTTTGTACAAACTTATCTACCTGTGCTATCACCTTCAGTGATCTGTGGACCTGCATAACCAGATCCCTCTGTGTACCAGTACTCTGCCATTCACTGTACAATTTCCACCTGTACTTGACCTTCCAAAATGCATGGTTTATGTTTATGGCGATGACCTAGTGGTATTATCGCTAGACTATTAATCCAGATATGGTTAATATTCTGGGAACCCATGTTCAAATCCTGCCACAGCAGACAATGGAATTTGAAATCAATAAAAAAAATCTGGAATTAAGAATGCACTGATCAACATGATTATCTATTTTTGGAAAAAACCCATTTGGTTCACTAATGTCCTTCAGAGATGGAAATCTGCCTCCCTCACCTGGTCTGGCCTACATGTCACTCCAGACCCACAGCAATGTGGTTGACTCTCAGTTGCTCTCTGAAATGGTCCAGCAAGCCAATTGCTACAAAGTCTCAAAGAAATGAAACTGGACAGATCACCTGGCATCGACCAAGGCACTGAAAAGACAACAGCAGAAACTGCCCTGTTGACCCTGCAAAATCCTTCTCACTAACTAGTGCCAAAATTGAGAGAGCTGTCTCACAGACTAGTTAAGCAACAGCCTGACATTGTATGTAAGGTATGATTCCGGGAGTATGACCATGTCTCAGCCACCATCATCACCATTCCTGGATATGTCCTGTTCCACCGGTAGGACCCCAGCAGAGCGGGCAGCACAGTTGTAAACAGTGGGGTGGGAATTGCCCTGGGAGTCCTCAACATTGACGCTGGATCCCATGATGTCTCATGACCTCATGTTAAACGTGGGCAAGGAAACCTCCTGCTGATTACCACATACTGTCCTCCCTCAGCTGATGTTCAATTTGGAGGAGTACCGACACAACACTTAAAGCGCTGAGGATGGCAAGGGCACAAAATGTACTCTGGGTGGGGGATTTCAACATCCACCTCCAAGAGTGGCTCAGCAGCAGTACTACTGATCGGACTGG